TTATCTCACATTATTTAACATTTATTTAATATAATTTAAACAGTTTACTGTATATTTGTAAGCAATTGAATACCTTATGATGTCAAGTCAAGAATTAAAAAACTATATATTTACAAATAGTGATTGAAATGTATTAAAACAAATAATAAAATTTCTCAGGTATTTTTATGAAACAATTACAATGGTATCAGCATCAACATATCTAACACTTTCTATTACAATTTCATTATATAATATTTTAATTGACTATTTGGAAGATATCATTGACAATGATAGGATTAATTTGAACATTAAAGAAGTAGCAAAAATATGTTGAAATAAAATTTTAGAATACTATAACAAAACAAATAAAATTTATATGCTGGCAGATGTTTTAGATCCACAATTTAAAATAGAATACTTTATTGAAAATGGCTAGGAAAATTTAATTGAAAAGATAAAAAAAAAAATAAATATATTTATTGTATTTATACTTATTTGTAATATAACTTGTTAATATTAAATATTTTTTATTTTCTAGTGTTTATAATATTTTTCAAGAATATACAGAATTAAATTCAAGAACTATAGAAGCCACCAAAATGAGTGAGACATATAATATAGTTAGGGTAAAATTATTCAAGTGACAGCATATAGAAAATCAAAATAAATTACAGCTATATTTTTCATTACCTTGAGTGATAGAGGAAACAGATATTTTAGAATGGTGAAAAATAAATGAATAGTAATTTTCATGTTTGATATATATTGCATGTGATTACTTAGCAATATTTACAACTAGTGTATCTATGGAACAGATTTTTTCAACTAGTAAAAATTTAATTACTGATAAAAGAAACTGGCTTTTAAATAAAACAGTAAGGGCATGCATGTGTTTAAAGTTATGGTGGCAAGGGCCTCTAGCAAATAGTAATTAAAATTTTACTTACATGTAAATTTTGATACTATTTATATATAAAATAGCATTTAATAAAAGTCTTACTAGCTCTAATTATAGTCATTAAAGTTATATTTATTAAAGTTTAAAAATAGAATTGCTTTATTGAAGGAGCAATTGTTAAAACAGATAATTTCAAAGTAAATATTGTTATTGTAAATACTAGAATTACAAGCAGGAATAATGTAATTGTTGGCCTGGTGCAAGTATCGTAATTGTTAAAAATCGATAATATGGTTAACCAACATTACAAATATGGATATAAATCTGTATAAAATCTGAAATATATGATTGGATGTGATTGATTTATAAAAAAAAAAATTGCAATCGGTTTATAAAAAAAATTGTGATCGATTTTATCATTGCTATTAAACAGTTCCTTCTATCAACCAGTATAAGCAATATATTAGCTACCCTTATATTTTTATTGACTTGTTATAGCTTTTGTTTAACACATTTTTTTTTAACCCACAATCATGCCACAATGACATGTCTTTATTGAGATAGTGAGAAATACTTAAATATTTTACAGACTTTCACAAAGTGACTAACTCATCATTGTATATTATTAGTTAAAGGACTACACTACTTAAAAAATATAAGAAGTCCACTAAGCTAATTCGGACTAAACAAAACTAAGTCTAAACTAGGTACTCTAAATCAGATTTAGATAATAATATTTCACTTTCCTGGCAGCTTGGCAAAAGTACCTCTAAGTCAACCAGGGTCATTGCCAACAGTTTGTCACTATAGATTATCCCGAAAAACAATGAATTGCTAAAGTTGGCACTGAGAAAAAAGGGAAAAGGGGAATGCAAATTAAAGCCCTCCAAAAGATTCTTGCACCATTTCACAGTTTCCTTTCAAAAGGGGTTTGCTTAATTGGAATATTCTCTCAGCTTTATGACGTTTGAGGAACTTAGCCATTCCTGAAAATAACTTCAAGAAGAATATTTGAGGAACTTATCCTTCTTCCAATGCATCACTGTTGAGGCCAGCACCATATTACAGAAAAGTTTGCCTGACCAGGATAAAGAAATCTTCTCAAGAACTTTGCCTGACCAGGATAGAAGCTTGAAGACCTCAACTTTTGTTCAAGAAAGCTTTTTCACCACCTGAGGAACTTAATGAGAGATGGGAGTTGAATCTTCTTTTCATACTTGTCACTCACCTTTCGATATCATAATTGTTTCCTGAAGGTTAAACATACATGATTGGAGGGGACACTTTTTCTAGAACTTTCTTTTCTATATCACCAATAATATATTGAAACACGTGATTGTGACCAATAGGAGCTTGTTTACATTTTAAAAACTGACGTGTTTCATGTCAGCCAATCACCTTTGGTGAGGATTTGTGCTACCAAAAATTCAGGGTCAAACTGAGGTAGGCAAAATTCCCCAGAAAACCATGAAAGCGATAGCTCTAAGAGGCCCAACAGTGACTGGAAGGGGAAAAATAAGCCCTTCTGTCATCAAAAACCTCTGTATACCTCCCGCTTCAAAGGTTAAATAGGCCTTCAGGTACTTCACAGTCAGTTCTTCTTCCTTTGGGAACTTTTTTGTCGTTGGTATCAAAGGTATTGCTTGACTTTTCTTGGTCACTAGAAGTCAAGTTTTTGAGTAAAGAGGTTTGTAAACAATAGGAGAAGGGTAGAAATAACTCTTGAAGTTATACTTCAAGTTGTTTTAAGGAAAGTATTAAGACTTTATTAACAAGGAAGTATAAGAACTTCTTGCGAACATCTTTTTTGTGTGTGGTCAGAGGATCAGCGGAAAAAATTAATTACTTAATTCTTTTTTATTGAATTATAAATATTTATTATTGACTTTGAAATATATTTTAAATTTTTATTTTTTATAAATTATAGTAATTTTTTTTTTTAACCCACAATTATGTCAAAATGGTTTGTCTATACTTAAGAAAATATTAAAATAATTTGCAGACTTTCTCACATAATGACTAACTCATTTTTATATATTATTAGTTGAAGAACTACACTACTTAAAAAATATGAGATATCCATTAAACTAGTTCAGATTAAACAAAATTAAATCTTAACTAGATACTTTAAGTTAGATTTAGGAAACAATATTATACTTTTCTAGTAGCTTGACATAATACCTCTAAGTCAACCAGGATCATTATCAACAGTTTGTTATTATTGATTATCTCAAAAAACAATAAATTGCTAAAGTTAAAACTAAAAAAGAGAAAAAATGAAAAATAATTTAAAGCCTTTTAAAAGATTCTTGCTCCATTTTACAATCTCTTCTTAAAAGGAGTTTTACCTAATTGGAATATTCTTCCTTGCTTCATTTGAACCTCAGAAAAAGTTTTTTTTGTCATTACCTATGACATTAAATAAGTCTTCATTTAAATATACATCAGATTGGAATAGTCTAAGAAAAACTAAAAAATCTCAGCTTCCATTTCATATTGCCTTTTCATCACTTGAGGAACTTAAAGAAGGAATAAAATTTCTTTGTGCAGATTCATTCCACCTTTTGATATCATAACTGTTTATTGGAGTCAAATATACATAGTTGGAAAGGAATATTTTCTAGAACTTTTTTTCCTATATTACTCATAATATAATAGAAATATGTAATTATGATCAATAGGAGCTTGTTTACTTTTCTTGAAACTAATATGTTTTGTGTCAGCCAATCACCTTTGGTAAGAATTTGTAGTATTCAAAATTTAGGATCAAACTAAGATAGACAAAATTTTCCAAAAAATCATAAAAGTGATAGTTCTAAGAGATTCACAAGGGATTGAAATAAGAAAAAATAAACCTTTTTATTATCAAAAATCTCTATTTATTTCTCACTTCAAAGGTGGAGAAGGCCTTTATATACTTCATTATTTTTTTTTTTTTTGTGAACTTTTTTGCCATTAATATCAAAGGTGTTACTTGACTTGTTTTTAATTACCAAAAGTCAAGTTTTTGATTATAAAGAATAGTAAACAAATAAGGAAGGATAAAGATGACTCTTGAAGTCACTTTTTAAGGAGTTTTAAAGAAAGTGTTTAAGATTTTTTAGCAAAGAAGCAAAAAAAACTTCTTGCAAATATCTTTTTTGCATGTGGTCAAAGAATCAGTGAAATTGATAGTTTATAAATTATAGTAATTATTAAAGTATAAAAATTTAAAAAAATAATTAAATATAAAAAAAAAATTTTTTTTTTGTTATTTTTTTAAAATCTTTTTATAATATTCATAATTAGATTAAACTATTAATTTATTAATCAAATATAAATGCAATAAAACTCTTTCTTGAAAATCCTGAATCTGATAAAATCACCAAATAAGGAAATACAAAATTTCGTCTCAAAAAAAAAACTGTCAGAGACCCTGGAGGTGGTTCTTCCTCCAAGGGCCAGTTTAACAATCATGAGCACATTCTCCTGGATGTCCTCATCACTGATATTCAAAAACCTAAAGCTGTCATCATCTATAAAAACACTAAAACAAGTAAAATTATCATCTCTCTTTCAAACTCCTCCCACAAACTTCTGAAACTTGGAAATACTCCTCTATCCTGGCTCACGTCAGTGCATTCTATTACTGATGGCCCAGAAATATCGAAAGTAATTACCGCTTCTTTTGAAGTATACCAAAGAACTAGAATCTCTACACCAATAACCATTGTCAACATTTCCTACTTGGACCCCATGCCAGCAGACTCCCTCAATGCCTTTTTTGACTTTCAAAATATATTTGAGATAACTGACGAAGACAAAACTGAATTAATGAAAGAAATTATAAAAAAATAGCTAAATTACAAACTACACATGCCTTGGAACAGACTCGACATTCTCTTCTCAAGCACAGACAATACTTTTTCCTTGAAGCAAAAAACTGAAACACCTAGACCCCCTTCAAACACTTCAGCTCCTTATGAGGTAATGAACGACGACAATGAAATGCAGAACGATTGTTCAAGTGAAACACCACATGCAGCTATCCCTGACCACAGTGTAGATCAAATCAGCCCTCATGCAGGGTCAAGCACCACGCACAAATCTAACCAAACCAGCCACCTCGCACTTGTAACACCTAATAACAGTACAGAAATGGAAATTGATGAGCAAAACACACCAGCCTCCACATCTTCACAAATTGAGTCAGCTTCAGTCACAGTTATCGAATCCTGGGCAGATGACGTCAACAATATTGATACTACTAGATCCAACACATCATCGACAATTGAAGGAGATATTAGAAAAATCAATCCTTTGGATGAACACTCCAAAATCCTTGAACTTTGTAAAGAAGTTGATAAATGCAAAAGAAATACGGACGCCATCATTCAGTGGCTCCTTAAAATTAGGGAGGAAGGCCCTTCCAAGATGAAACCTGCAATCAAAGCCATTATGGCAAAAATCGGATATAGAGACCGTAGCTTTTTTAGGACCTTTGCCAGGGAAACCTTTCTAAAGGGTCAACATTAAATTGAATACGAGAAACTGGAAAAAAGCTTCCACGAGAACTACCTGAGAGCTAACAATATTGGCTATATCAACAGAACAACCCGGAAAAAAATAAGAATAATTATCAACAAAGCATTACTCATCATCTTTCTAAAGTCTACAGACCTCGCCTCTTTTAAACATTGGCAAATTGCCCAACTTCTGGAATATGGCTTAAACTTCTTTATTAATCCCACATCTGAAAAACTGGACTACAAAACCCTTCTACTTAAATTTGAGGAAGCTATCAAAAACAAACTTCCATTGCTACCCAACTTGCCCTATCACATCCTGGCTTCAATCAAAATCAAGCTCCCATATGCTATTCCTATCACCTCCTCCAGAAATACAGCCAATGTAGCAAGCAGTCTCAGAGTATATTATAACTTTGACCAGCTTCCTGCTTCATTTTTTGATCAGAAACCACTAATCCCCGATAACCCTAATGACCTCAAATCCAAAGTCAAAATGCTCTTTCCCTTAACCAAACATAGTGACCTGAGAAATCTGGGAGAACTTACTAGCAAATTAAGAGACCATTATTATGTCCCCACTAAACTGCCAGACTCTTACTTCAGTCTTCCTCTACCAAAATCACACTTTCATCTTTATACATGGACCTACCCTTTGAGCTCGCATGCCACTTCCCAGTAGAAAATAACCCTGAAGCTATTCGCTCAGTCATAGACCTTCTTAGATCCAACAACTTTGCAGTCAGGTGATTTCCAATAGACTATATTCAAGTAAAACGTCCACTCCCACCAGCCCTTTGGTATAGTGAAAACAACTCTATTTCCTTGTCAATCCAATCACAAGAGGAAGTCAAAGACTTCATCCAAACGATTAAACAAAAGTTCTTTTTCACGCTGCCATTAGGAGCAGAATGGATTAACGAAAACTTGGTTCAGGATGAAAGGCCTCACATCCCTAAAAGTGTGGAGGAACTCAAGCTCCAACTTAACATTACAAATGATCAACTACATAGAGACTCGCCGACTATCTCACAAACACTTAAAAAAATCAAGGATACATATCAAGGAGTAATATCACGAGAATGGATTTCACCTGTGCTTCCAATGTTGCCTTCAATGGCTGAAGCCCAGGAGCATCTAAACAAAATTGATATCAACATAACACTCCCATTAATGGATGACCAATACTTGACACCTGCCATAAAATTGCTCAGGACCCACTTCTACTTTGATAAACTCCCTTCAACCTTTATTATCGAAAAAGAGTCACCTGATCCAGGATTGACTCTTCTCCCATGTCTTTTTTAATCATAACGAAATCAACCGCACCCAACTCTCTACCCTCTTTTGCACAATCTTCACAAACTATTCCCTCCTCAAGCATTAAAAACCTCCTTACAATTTCCACATTCAACGTTCAAGGGCTAAACCAAAAAGAAAAGCTCAACGAAATCATCAAATCTATTAACAATGAAAGAGCAATCTTTTGTTGCACCGAAACCAAATCCACATTACATAATCCACTACCCAACAGAATAAATAACAAGGTTATCATTTCCAGCAAACCTAATATAGTAGCTAGCAATAGCACCTGCATTATCTTGATTACAAAGGTGTCTTGTCACATTTTCAACACCTACACAGAAAATGAATTCTGGTGCGCTGTTCATCTCAAGTTCAAACCTAAGGCAGACATTATCATCATCTCAAT